TAAAACCAAAACGCATTATGGTAGTAAATATACCTTTGTCTATTGTATGGTTGAACTGCTCAGTTCAAATGATTAAACAATATGATTTGTTATGAGCATCTTGTGATCGAGTATGAAAGTTAAAGAGTTTGTTAATTATAATGTCATCTTTGCAGGTTCAACTACAAGTAGCAAAGCAAAAAAAAAAAGCAATGTTGAGGTGGTTATAGGTCAACCATGCAAGACTCACCTAAATGGCTTTCCAGAAAATGGAGAAGATGCAAAATGATTATTCTTCAGAGGATAGACTCCCAAATGTCGAAGGAGTAAGTGTGTATTCTAGGCGAGTTAGTAAATATTCTGTTTGCTTATTCTATTGCCTTTGGTCATCAACATCAGGTTTCAAATCTCTCCAATCGTTTGCTGATATGTAACATTTATGGACACATCACTTAGATGCAAGACATCAACACGACGCCAAAATTGTTACATGCTCAGCTAATCCAGTCAAACTTCTATAAATGGGAGTTATAGACAGGTATACTACTTCATAGGGGTGCAAACGAGCAAAGCTACTCGTGAGCTACTCGGGATCGGATCGTTAAAAACTCGACTCGAAACCAATTTTAAACGATCCCGAGCCGAGCTCGAGCTTAATATTAAGCTCGTTTATTAAACGAGCTCGAGCTCGAGCCTATGTCACTAAGCTCGATTAGGCTTGCGAGCCTAAACGAGCCTTTTATATAAAATAATTTATTATTATTTTTATATATTAAAATAAAAACATATTTGGGGATTAGGGATTTAGGGTATTAGTAAACGAGCTTCTTAACGAGCTCGAGCCGAGCTTAAGCTTATTTAGGCACGTCAGACAAAAAACGAGCCGAGCCCGAGCCTGAGTCGAGCTTATATAATTATTTACGAGCTCGAGCCGAGCTCAGTACAAGAAGCTCGAATCGAGCCGAGCTCGAGCTCGAGCCTCGTATAACTTAAACGAGCCCGAGCCGTGCCTGACCACGCTCGGGCTCAGCTCGGCTCGTTTGCACCCCTTCATATGTCGTTGAATTGATGCATTGAGATCTTGGAATTTAATTTTTCCTACATATTTTCTTTAATTGGTCTTAAAATTTTCAAAACAGAATTTTTTGAATTTTTTCTTAAATTTCTTTTCAAATAATGCAACAATTTTTTATGCATGTCTGTGTGCTTGTATTTGTGGTTGTGTGTGTGTTTGTGTCTGTTTGGCTGTCCCATATTAAAATTGTACATTGATTGAAATTGTCCAAACATGTAATTTAATGTTATTTATCTTATTAGAGTAAATTACTGAAATCGTCCCCTATGGTTTGGTCAAAATTGCACGTTTGGTCCCTAACTTATATTTTGCACTCGGATCATCCCTGTGGTTTGATTTTATTGCGTTTTTCGTCCCTTACATACATAAAGTTAGGGACCAAACATGCAATTTTGACCAAACCATAGGGACGAAAAACGCAACAAAATCAAACCATAAGGACGATCCGAGTGCAAAATAAAAGTTAGGGACCAAACGTGCAATTTTGACCGAACCATAGGGACGTTTTCAGTAATTAACTCATCTTATTATTTTTCAAGAGTTTATGGTGAATTTGGAAGGAGTGGAGTGGAAGGTATTTTCCCTTACAAGATCAGTCTCTATTTTTAGACGATTATTCACAAAAATGAAAACGATGTCAACTAATATTAAAGTTAAATGCAGAAGAATCTAGAAGATTGGTCCCATGTATCTATCCTGCTTCTCAACAGCTTGCTGCTCCTTGAGCTTATCAAGAATTTCCAAGGTTATTTGATTACAAAAATAGTCATGCTATTTTGTTATTTTAGATATGTATTTTTAAACATTATCATGTATCACAAAAATGAATTTGTAGAATGTTGAGTAATTGTGTATTTGGACCTAGAGATGTATAATGTGACGGATTTTATCAAGTAATCAAGGAAGACACAGATTATATACAAGAAAGCTACATGCTTTATGAAATATTTATTTGAAATCTTTTTTATTGTTTTTGTTATATGATTATTATAATTTCTAGATCTAATGTTGATTATATTGATATTTGAAATGTTACTTTATGTAGTTTGTACTAAAAAAACTACATTACATATATGGTCCCTATGGTATAGAGAATAAGCAACTTTGGTCTAATTTTTGTTTTCGTGAGAATGCCAATCCTTGTGGTTTACGTTTACTACACCACACTGACCACATCCAAAGAATTAGTGTAATCGGTTAAGTTGTTTCTGGTTTATACACTCAAAGAACCGACTGGTCCTGTTGTTTCAGGTTTAAACACTTACAGAATCGACAGTTTCAATTCATAACAATTGGTACCCGAAAACTAAATTTACATGATGGGGTTGATTCAAAATCATGAATCTTGATATAATTTTTTTTGGTACTTCTTACAAAATTTTTAGATACAAACATTCTTTGAGAGGCTGGTTCAACTAAGTGGACCCGAGAAGGAAAGCATCAAGTGGAAAGAGCCACAAAGAGTCTAACAACTATTGGAGGTTTTATTGACTGTATCTTCCGAGTAAAGCACTATGAGATTTTGTATCAATAGATGTACAATATAAACTTAGTTGAAGTACACATAGCTGGGTTAACTAATAGTATATTTTAAAACGAAAACAGAAAACGGTATTTTATATCTAACCAAAAATAGGAACGTGTATAGTTAAAAAAAACTTACAATGTTTTTCAATCTAACCAAAAATAGGAACGTGTATATTAAAAAAAAAGATAACTTACATTATTTTTCAACAAAAAGAACTCGCCTAAAGGAACCAAATCTCTGCCCGATAATAATTTGCTGAAATGAAATTATTCGTCACCACAATATTGCACAAGTATTCAACTAGAAATTAAAAAAAAAACATGAATAAAATGATAAAAGAAAACGAAAGCCAATATGGTGAAGCCAAAAACCGAAACAAAAAAAGTCGAAAACCATTGGTTTTCCAAATTGACAAACCATTTTTTTGTTTGGTTTCCTGGTTGACAATCCTGACAAATTTCGGTTAGCCATGTTTGACTAAGAACAATCTCGACTAATCCTTGTCTATTGTGTTTTGTTTAGCCGTGCTTGACATGTTCCACAATTAAACTATTCGTCGCCATAACTAAACTATTTGTCCAAAAGAACTAATCGTCTCTACAAAACTAATTTCCGAAAAAACTATTCGCACCCGTCGCTTGTTGCGGGTAAACAGCTAGTATATATATATATATATATATATATATATATATATATATATATATATATATAACAGAAAAGTAGGTAACTCTATGTCTAAGTAAAATGTAATTCTTAATGTATTGAATTTTGAGTATTAAGTAATGTATATTTGTTTACGTAGATATTTTATCTTTTTTGATAAATATTTCTTGGTGACACACATCAAAATTGTGAAATTTTAATATTGTAAAATGATCGGGTTAATGGGTCGGGTATTTATTGATTCGGTGGATACGGGTATGGATTCGATTATTCAAAACCCTGAGGGTTATTGGAGAGGGGCGAGTCATGTTTTTAAAAATTTTATAGGGTTTGAATCAACGATGATTCGCTCCAAACCTGCCCCATTGACAGGTCTAGGTTTAAGTCCCCGTCCCCAAAATCAAACTTCCAACGAATTTTACACTTCCGACCCCTCCCTCTCTTTTCTTTTCAAACAAGATCCACAATTTACCAAACAACCCTTGCTCACGAAATTCTTAACATTTCAAGTCCAATTTACAATTTAGACTCCAAATTCCTGAAATTATGACATTTAACTCCCATGGGTACTGCTGATCAATTATTACGGATTTAGGGATAAAATAAAATAAAATATAAAATACATCTCGGGGTTTTAGGGCTATTATTTATTTATTTTATTTGTTTAATTTTATTTATTTAATTTTAAACGTAATGTTACAAATTCTCCATACAAAGTAAAACCTAACAATTAAAATACTTTAAAGTAATTGTTAGTATAAGGAGCATGGGAGACAAGGGATGGAGGTTGACAAGCAACCTCTACTCCTTTAAACAACTTTCGGCGATGCTCTTGAAAATAGAATGATTCTTTAAATTTTATAAACTCAAAGTTTATAACATATAAATTTTGTCTTTAGGTAAAACACAAAAGGATTTAATTAGTCCAAAAGGTTGTGCATGACTTATTAATTCACACCATATGAAATAATAACTAGTTATACTCTCTTATAATTACTATGTTCACAAAACAATAATTATTCCTCTAATTAAATACAAGAATTGATATTATTTATTAATAATCATATTAATAATAAATATACAAAATGTGCCAACATGATAAATGTGTGACCTTATATAATCATATATTATTAGCAATGTCATTCAATAATGATTTTTGGGCATATAGATTCAACAATCTCTATATTGATATCCCGACTTCGGGGGACTGTAAGTCATTGAATATGAAACTAAAATTGATAAAATTATAGTTTAAAATAATTTACAAACTCTAAACTACACGCTGGAAAAAACCACATGACAATCTAACTTTAAACAAATGAGATGTGCATGTTTTAAAATTTTAACATAATACAAAGTAGAAAAACAAATAGTTGAAAAGTTGAAAATTTTCAACTTTGACATCCCAACTTTGGGGAACTATAAATCATTGAATATTAAAACAAAAATGACAAAATTATAGTCTAAACTACAAGTTTGAAAAAACTTTATGTCATTCCGACTTCAGACGAATGGGATATGCATGTTTTTAAAATTTTCACACAAACCGGTTCCGGTCCCTAAAAGTGGTTCCGGTTCTTAAACCCGGTGTACCTGGACGAACCCAAACCCGTATTACATGGAACCCTGATAAACCCATTCTTTAGACCTGGAACCCATACCCGTTTTACATATTTCGGTTCTAAACAGTTTCCGCCTGTCTGATTTTCCGGTTTAAATCTCTTCATGCTCCTTAGTAAAAAAAATCGCAAACCATAGTGACCATGTTTGGAGTTTTCTTAAAAATCTTTCAAGAAGTATGCTTTTGGAATTCGGATATCGAAGTTTTGGTTCGTATCAACGATAGGCGATGAAAGAACCATCGGAGACGAAGCACCCTAACACTACGGAAAGGAACTCGAAAACGAAAGGGAAGAACAACAATTTTGAGTTTTGTAAAGTATGCAAGCTCAATCACAATCTAGGTCGCCGCCATAACTACCTTCCTAACCACGTCAAATCGCTCTCATCTTTCCTATCTCGATTTCAGTCCAAACTCTCCGATGTACGGCTTTTTCTTAAGAACCCTAACTTACTTCGTCCAGAGCTTGCATCTCGCAATAGGTTTTGGTGCGTCTTTTGCGATTCTGATGTTGCGGAGAACGACAGTTCTTTTGCCTGGTGAGCAAGTTACCACCATCGTACGCATTTACACATCAATGCACATATTAAGCAGGCATAATCTGCCTTTTTCATTGAGATATCTAAGTAGAACCAGAATATCGTATCTTCTGGTTATAAGTTCTATCGTTTATAACCTCCTAGGTTTTAATGGTGTAGCATTCTAGTGACTCTAGACGGGCTTGACCATTTACACGAACAAAGCTGTAGAACATTAGGGGATTTTTGGATGTGAGTCTAAAATTCTCAAATTAATCCGTTTCCAGTTTTTGGTTTTGATTATTTAGGCTTAAACTTATAGGAATTTGGTGATGTAGTAGGAAATTAATTACGTACCTATAACTCAATCAACTGTTTGATCTGATTTTAGGCAATAATCACTTTGAAGAGGCACATCCAGACATCTTATGTATTCATGTTTGTCGAACAATTTTGAAAAACAAATTTTCATGTAGAACCCAGTTTGAAGTTCATGCCCTTTGTACTACCAGTCACGAACAATTTTAAGGGAAAATCAACAAAACCATGTTTCATGCTAATAAATAAAGTCGTGTTTATCTACAGTCATCTTATTTCATTTCAAATTGTTTTTGTCAGTGAAAATGCAATCAGCCATCTTGCAAGTGCAGATCACTTGAAAAACTTAAAAAGTTTTATGTGGAAACATGGTGGGGGAATGGATCGAATTGATGGTTTCCGGATTTCAGAGGCAGATATTGCTAAGGTAGTTATTTTTTAGCCTCTTAAGCTAAATCTTGTTGTTTATATTATGCCTTACACTACAAAAATAGACAATAGACAGATTTATAAGTAGAACCTTACAAACACTTATGAATTCAGTCTACATGTTTTTGCAGTATGAAAAGAAGTGCATATCAATGAAGAACAAAGGTGCTAGTGAACAATCTCATGGCCCTATGATTGGACCTTCAAATGATATCCACAATGAACTGAAATTTGATTATGTAGATAACTTTGACACACATAATTCAAGTTTTCCAAATGGTGTTTCACCTTTACAATATCATACAAATGAGAAATATCAGGTATCCCATTCAGATATGTCTGGAGGTTATGATGACAAATTGTTGCTGTTGGGTTCAAATGCAAAGCGTTCACGTAACTTAAGAGGTGATTGATTGTCTGTCCATAATACATAATTTATTAATTTACCCCTTGTTATTTTACTTTCATGATTTATATATAGACTTATTAAAACTTTCTTTTGTGCTCATGTAATGTTACTACTCTCAGGTAATGCAGGGAAAAGTTGCTTAAATGATGGTAATCTTCACAATAAACCGGTATGTTTCTAATGAGCATAATTCCTGTTATTTTAGTGATGTCATATAACATATTATAATTTTGACCAAATTAGTTATTTTCTGCTTGTTATTTGGGTTCATTTTTTGCCATTATTTTGGCACACACTAATGTGATAGGGGAAGATATGCCAGGTATATGCACATAACAGGGAAGCTAATGGGGATGATAGTTCAGCAGGTATCATTTACAATTTCACTTTATTTGTCACTCTTAATATTTCATTTTTCTACCAATTTATGCATCTGACATGAATTATACAACGATGTTTTAAAACTAGTATCAATGTATAATGTTTCACCTTTTTGCCAATTAATGCAATTATGCAAATGACACAAATTATACAACCACGTTTTCTTCACCAATTTATGCAATAATGTTTCACTTTTTTTTTACCAGTTATGCTACTGAGATGATTTATACAACCATGTTACTGGTAAAATGTTGCATATTTTGGTCCTAGAATGAAACGTGGTTGCATATTTCATAAAAAAAAAAAAACGTTTTTTTTGCATAAATTGGGGAAAAGAGGTGAAATGTGGTTTACATTAACAAACATTTAACTTTTCTCTATATTACTATTACAACAAGTGTTGTAGAACCACATGCCACCTAAAATCTTATTAATTTTGTGACAGGTTTGCAGAAGCTCACTCGAATTTCTTCTACAGTCCATGAAACGGACACCGGAAATGTGCATTCCGGAGCACCCCCTCCTTGGTTTAATGCAACAAACGGAATTCATATTGATCCTGGAATGGAAACAGATCCTGTGTTAAAACCTGTAAAATCGAAGTTAAATCCTAAAAGGGTTGGAGCTGCTTGGGCTGAAAAAAGAAAGATAGAAATGGAGATGGAGAGAAATGGGGAACTACCTGCTAACAGATTTGATGCCAGCTGGCTTCCAAATTTCGGTAGAGTATGGCAATCAGGAAGCAGAAAAGACTCCCGGAAAGAATTTCAGGTGGAAACCATGAAACCTCCTAAGGATGAAAAAAATCATTCTGATGATTCATCGTTGCAGTTGCAGTTGCAGCCTTATATAAGCAAACGAATGGTAAGTTTACAGATTTATGATGTTTTTTTTATTACCTTTCAGATTCAAAATTTATATCTTAATGAATTGAAAGTTATTATTTCATGTCTTTCTTGTTTCCTTTGGTGTTATGATTTGCAGCGCAGAGAAGCCAATGAATGATTGCTTCTGCTATGATGATTTTGTATTTTGATGAGTATAAATTTCAGAGGCAAAATGAGAAATTGGTTAATTGGAACTGGCAACTCACAGGGTACGTACATATTGCAAGTAAATTAAAAAACCATGCCATTTGTCATATAATCATATTGATATTAGTGGTCCATTATGTAATAACTAATGGGGTTAAGCTTTTTTGGGTCAAATAAAAAAAGTCATTGACAGCTGATTACTTGAGACAAACCTTTAGTCTAAATGCGGAATCTTAGGAAACAAAGATGTCGATGCATGATACTAATAAGTTATTTGACTATTAATAAAATAATAAAGAAGCATATTTATAAGTCAAAATTACAGAACAATTTTGAGTTTTGTTACAATGCTAGTCCTCTTATGATTTCAAATCCTTACAAGGTTGGTGGTTCTGTTTAACACCGTTAATAACTACCATTAAATCATTGTAAAATAACATTTTACCCTTTCTTACTTTTCTTTAAAAAAAAACGGCCTACACTACTCTACTCTTAAATCTACACCCCTCAACCTTTGGTTGAGATGCATATCCATCAACATCTTATACCGTTAGGCCAAAGACCATTTGGTTACCCCTTTCTTATCTTATTCTTATTTTTTATTTAACCATTTCAATAAATCATTCCCTAACTTCATCAACAAAACCCTAAAACACATTCTTGTAAGCCAAAACAAAGGTCTTTCTTTATAACTCCACACAATCAAAAACTCCAAAGCATCTTCAATCATCCCCAAATTTGAAAACAAACCCGTCAAAAGGGTTGAAACCGGTGGATACTCGTGTTCTAACAAGTAACAACACATGGGCTAAAACACGAGTATCAAGTGGAGTAGGAGGTAGTTGAAAGAAGATCAAATTGTGTTAAAAAATCATCATCACCACCAAGTGGTGGTAGAAACGATGAAGGTGAGGTAGTTGAGCATGGGTATTCATTTCTGCTATCATAAGATGTACCATAGCATGTTATTTGTTGGAAAGCTGGATCATGTGTGCTCTTCAACAAAGGAATAGAGGCCACAATATATTGCAAAACCAATTTGCAACATTGAACTGATGCTGCAAAAGAAATTAGAAATAATGCATCCGAATTAAATAAAGTGTCTTAGTATGAGCAAATAACCATTTTAAAGTAAGAGATTATCAACTTAATAATTATCATATATGATTCTAGACACAAGAAATTGTTCTAGGTGGAGCAGCAGAAATTCTACAAAAGAGATTATCAACTTAAAAAGAGGTTACATGCTCTTTTTCTTGTCTAGAATCATATATGACAGTCATTAAGTTGATATTCTCTTATTTTAAAAACAAAAATATGTATGAGGGTAAGACGATCATTTGCTCATATTCGGACACTTCATTTAATTCCAAAAAAGAAACTCGATTAGGCATCATGATTCAATTAAGATACCTTATTCCTAGTTTCTTTTGTAGGCGTCGGTTCAATGTGGTAAATTGGTTTTGGGCAAACAATTGACAGGAAACTGCTGTTGCTTATTCCTAGTTTCTCTTCATATCTATCCCTTTCTTGCAGAGCTATCGACAGGATCCATCTTTCCAACAAACATGTTGCCGCAGGACATCATTATGATAGCCAAATGAATGCTGATGCTCAACTACCTCGCCCTCGCCCTCGACCTACCATCACTTGCTCCTGATGGTGTTGATGATTTTTTAGAGCAATTTCATCATCTTTTAACCACCTCTTACTCTTGGACAAGTGCTGACAACACTTGATGCTCAATCCCTTGCTCCAGTTGTAAGAGATTTAAAGATTCCTCAAATTTCCTCTCCATCAATAACTTTTAAATCAAATTTTTGTAAGTCGCCTGCCACGGTTTAACCCTACTTGTGTTGGTCATTTCAACAAGCACCGTATATGCGTTAATGCTCATGTTTTGGTTCAAAAATCTGTTTACTAAAACATCTACAAGATCCGCGTCAGCTTCGCAACATTTCTTGATCATACTCGCAGAAAGGATTTGACTTTGTTGGGTGAACAGCGTACTTAAATTAAAATTGTCTGTGTCTTGATCATCTCAGGAATGCAACCATTTGCTTGCATATCATCGAGCACATGGGTTCGTAAAAATCGTTCACGACAATCTTTTACCATTGCGTTATAAAATTTAGTCAAATTTGCAGCCACATTGATCATATTGGCTATAAATCAATAAATACACCAAAAGGCATTTGGCTAAGTATCATGTGTTTGAAATCAATAAAATTTAGTCAAATTTACTTCCTCCAATCTTTTCATTACTCCATTAGAGGAGATTTGAGAGGTAACATTTGGAAATATTTTTAATTAGAAATCAAGATGGTATCCTAATTATCACGCACACCCCATTATAAGATTTCTTGTTCTACCCGTATACTTTTTATATATGCATTTTCGGTTATCCTGATAACCATTTAATATTTATATGCTTTTCTGCTTCAAATAGATGTGCTCAGTTATGCTTCAAATGTGTGTGTGCATAATCTTTACTCGTGATTTTTTTTTTTTTTTTTTTTTTTTTTTTTTTTTTTAATAATTTGATTGTGAGCAATTTCATGTCAGTAGGTAAGAGATGTCAGCTTACATGTGTTCTGTCATTTCATAAATTTTCCTTTAAACAAAAAACATCGAGCCTCTCATTTTCCCATAAGTAGTTTTATTAGGTTCCTACTCATTGTGTTAAAATCGATTTTCTAGAAGTAATTTGTACGGATCAACCATTCATAACTCATTTGTGGGTAGGTGGTGGTTAGTGAAAATGAGTGTGTGGATGGTTGGCCGGAAGAAATGAGGGAGAGTGTCGGGTGAGGTGATGGGTTAATTTCAGCTTTGAATGAGCCCACTTGAGATAATATATAATTAAACATTTAAATAAAATTAAGGGGCAAAATGGTCACTTTGCACACACTTAACTGTCCTTTGTTAATGGTGTTAGATTTAGGGACCAAAACATCACGAAAACCACAAAAAGGGACCATTTGTACGAGTTGAAACTATTTTGAACATTAGCCAAAGAAAAATGAAAACCACAGGGTTCAATTATGTAGTTTTGTCTAAATTATTATAAGTAACTTTATTATTTGCCTATTATTATATAAAGAACAAGCTACACAATTGGTCCTTCTTGTTTACAAAAACTAGCATGGTCCGTCCTTTTTTTTTTTTTTTCTCATTTGGTTATGTGTTTCAATTTCTTGCATGATTGGTTCTTTACACATGTAAAATGAAGTATATTTTAGAATCTTAAAGAAAAAGTACATACAAGAATCTTTCCATCATTCTCATTAATCATAAAGAGGTTATATTGAAATATCCTTTCGAATCTTAAAAAACAATGGAAAATACTCGATACAATACCCAAATTTAGTATATAAACTCAAGTTGACGTTAGCATTTGCTTTGTATAACTATATAAGTCCGAGGAAGACTTTATTTTTATTATTATTATTATTATTATTATTATTATTATTTTAATTTGGCCGATCGACATCCGACTTGCATACCACATGATGAAATATGTGATGTTTGTGCTAGTGACGTTAGTAACAAAGACTTGTACGAATGATCTAATAACATTAACATGAAGTGTGTTCGTAATTATATGACTACTTTAATATGAAATGCTTGATGTCACTGGCGGTTTTACTATGATGGTCGTAGAGGCACCGACAAAGTCTAATTTTTCTACTATCATGACAGTTGATACTGCTAAAATTTTCCGTGACATCTCTACTATGAAATCCTGCGTTCGTCCCTGCTTGAAGTGGATAATTTATTACTAGACTTTTTACTGCCATATGACTTCCTATTTTTGTAACAGAACATAGTTATGAAAACTTCTCAATTTTGAAAATTACATATTAGACAATTAACTTTCCCTCGTTATGTTCTAATTTTAGCTTTTGTATAAATATCTTTTTATATAGATTTACATATTTAATAAACTTTCATCGAACACTTCTGTGAAAAAAAACCATAATTTCTACTTAGTTTTTCCAAATATACTCTTAGTCTTATAATTTTTTTTATTAATAATGATCACATTTTACTTTATAATTAAAATGGCCCCAACTAAAGAGTTAGAGGACCCACACAAAAGCTTTTTTCCATTTAAAAAAGTGAAATTTAATAAACATAGAACTCTTAACAAAAAAATCTACCTATTTAATAAAAAAAATCGCATCCTATGCCACATGATGTTATCCGTCGCTTTTAGCTTTTTTTTCCTGCCCAATTTTCCAAAATGAAGTTACTAAACTACCCGCATTAAATCCGTTTTGTTCATTCCAGCATAGAGCTTGGCTACTCGTGTATCTTGGCCTTCACACACAATTGGACCGCCCTCAACCCACTCACAACATGTCGCCATATGCGAATAAACATACAATTACTAAACAAACAGTCACATGTAATTATTAACAAATCTACCTGTCTAAAAGATAACTATAGCCTACCAACATCGTAACATACAAACTGTAGTACAAAGTATAGTGAGAAAACTCACCTCACAGACGAAGTAGAAATCTCTACAGCTCGTCACACGTAAATACAAGTACAACACCCTCCTAAATATTAAATAAGGGTCAAACCTCAATCTATGACCGAGATTGTTATATTTATGCTTTATTTTAATACATTTATGCTAGATTTTAGCTAATTATGAAGTTATTTGGTATTTTTGAGTTTAAAATCTACTTCGTAGCCAAAATGGACATTCTCAAGGAAAAAGGATCAAAAGTGAAGATAGCTGGAAACTTAGAGGTTGAAACTGGTATCAAAAGAGAAGGAGAAAAGAAGAAGTGAGTGCAAAAGAATGCATGCCATGACGTGGCAATCTCAAGGCCACGACGTGGCCACCTCTCCTTACACAAAAGCTTCCCAAGACTTGGGGCATACACGTTTTAAGTGTGTGCTACAACGTGGAAGTCTAATTCCCACGTCGTGACGACCATTTTTCGTAACTATATAAGTCGATCATTAGGCCGAAATTTAAAAAATTGCTTGAGAATTAAGCTAAAGGTTGCGACCAAAAACCTCTGGCGAACCCTTGGAGATCAAAAATCGTTTGGAGTTCAAGCATTGAAGATATTTAGAGAAAGAACATCATTAGAACTGATTTACTAGTTTTTACTATGTCTTATCTTGCTAAATCAGATTTATTGCTTGTTTCTGCTTTAATCATGGGCTAAGCACACCATAATTTCATTTGGTGTTGATGAACCCTTAACCTATATGACGAGGTCGAATTTATGGATCTTTTATGTTGGTTTTATTAGTGTTTGATAAATCATAATCCTTACATGTTGAAGTTCTAACTTATATTGCTTATTTTACAAGTTTTGTGTAGTAGATAATCACTCTATTTGCATAAATTTGTTATCAAGTTGTTTATAAACATTGAATAATTAGATCTAGTGATTGAACAAATCCTAGAGTTAGGTGAATAAAAGTTAGCTACTTTGATTGTGTTAGAGAGCATAATTAATCCATAATTTGTGCTTGATTTACTTGTCTTGATCTTGGATATGTAATTCATAAATTGGCAAAAACCAGGAATCGGAATACGATAACTAGTAACTTAATAAATTGGTAATCAATATAATTTATCCACTAGAAATCAACCATAGGAGAGGGGGAATTCAAAAGTAAACGGAAGTACTCTTAAAATTGAATTAAAAATTGTTTTCTTTGCTTGCTTAGTCTTAATAATTGCTTATTTAATAGTTGTTTGATTTAAGTTGCTGGTCTTGCAAAATCAGCAAAAACCCCTCATTTAAAGATATTTCTTAGTTTAATATTAGTAGTTATTTTCTAATTGGAATTTCGTTCCATATGTTCGATACCCAACTTACATTTCTTTACAATAAGTCGACTATGTACACTGCCTAAGTGTGATTAGTTAGTTAAGTTTTGTTAGTTTTATAAATTAAAAACTAATAGGTATATAAAATGCACATCAATGGCCTAAAACCCTAAAATTTGACCTAAAGTCAAACTTAACCAAAAGTCAGTAGTCGAGTCACCGTGCCGTGGCAACACAAGATAAAACTGTCGTGAGACTCAACATCCACCACGTTGTGGCAAGGACTCTGCCGCGTTGTGGTAACGTCCAGTTCAACTTAACCCTTATTTCCAGAGCTCTAAAACTCATATCTGAATCGATTTAGATCATGCATGGATAAAGTTTCCAACTTTATCCATTTCCAAACCTCTAGGAACCTAGATCTCAAACCTTAACACAAAAAGAGACCCAAATGACCTAAGATGTAACACCTGGTTTTGAAAGTGTTCAGTTGTGGCTCCGGAGGCCAAGGGCATAAGCCTAATATGACGATTCGGCCTTTTATGGGTCTCGGGTTTTATTCGGAAGGTTTTAAGGCTTGGGGGTGTATCTAGGAGCGTAGGGCTTATCGCCACCTTTTCGTGGATATAAGGTTCGTCGAGAATGGACCTCGGATGAGGAAGATATGACACTTTGAAGTTATTGGCAATAATGATCCCTAATGGAAAAAAGTGGCAAGAAGAGACCATGCATACAAGGTGGCCAGCGTGGAAGTACGCCTAGCGTTAGTTGGGGGTGCGCCCAATGTAGTGGAGTAAGTGGACGCGGAGGTTGGAGGCGTACGCCCAACGTACGTTCAGAGTCTCCAAACCCTAATTTTTAGGGTTAAGCACTATATAAAGAACATTACGACTCAAACCCTAGCCCCCTTACCAGCCTCTCAACCTCAGAAACCCTAGATGGCCTCTCATCCTCCATTCTTGTGTGTCTTTGGCTTTGAGAAGTTCTTGGTGGTGTTTAGAAGCTTGAAAGAAGAAAGGAGAATTTGGAG